ATTGAGGAAAGTGGATGGCGGACTGATTTGGAAGAGGATGAACATTCTATCATGTTGTTGAGAACTGCGGACCACCTGTTGGAGATGTAGGATGAGTATGTGCTTTTTATGGAGAGTGAACTAGATGCCATACACAGTCCTCCACTGGCTTTAGATACTGGGTGGCTTTAGGAGGCCATGTTCAAACCCTTCTGCTCTTCTCTCCCTTCTCCATCTCCCTTCTCTCCCTTCCCCCTCCCTGCGTTTCTTTATCTGTATAGGGAATCAAATCTAAGGCCTCAAGCATGCTGGACAAGCATTCTGTATTCCTGAGCTATATTCCTGCCCTTTTTAAGTTGTGGATTAAAAATGTTTTTTTTAGATTAACTTAACTGTATTGTTTGGCCAGCATATGTGGTGTGCACCGTGTGTGCCTGGTACCTGTGAAGGTTATCACATCCTCTGGAAATGGAGTTAAGGATGGCTGTGAACCACCATGTGGTACTGAGAACTGAACCTGGGTCCTGTGCTAGAGCAAGAAGTGCTCTTAACTGATGTGCCAAATCTGCAGCCCTCACTTGTTTTGTAGTTTTTGAGTCAAGGTCTTAGTAACTTGTCCAGGCTGACCTTGGCTTCATGCTGTAGACTATTAGGCTTTGAACTTTCTTTTCTTTTCTTTTTGGTTTTTAAGACAGGGTTTCTCCATGTATCCTTGGCTGTCCTGGAACTCACTATGTAGAGTAGACAGGCTGGCCTTGAACTAAGAGATTTGCCTGCCTCTGCTGGCACACACTGGGTTGCTGAATGGTTGAAAATCTTTGCTTACTTCTACTGAGAACTGCTTTCTGACTTCTGAAATGTTGATACAATTTTTTTTTTTTTTTACTTTGGAGTCTTGTACCCTGAGTGGAAAGCATTGTCGTTATTATGTAAAGTAGGAAATACTTATCTCTCTGGAGGACCTTGCATCTCTTGAACGCAAAGAGGAGAATAGTAACAAATAATCCATGAGCAGATTTGAGCAGCAACAAGAAGCACACAGTGGGCTGGAGGAATGGCTTCATGGTTAAGAGCACTATGGCTCATGCGGAGATCCCAGGATTCATTCCCAGCACCCACTTGGCAGCTCACAGCCATCTGTAACTCCTATTCTATGAGTCTGACACATTAAAAAAAAACATTAAGACTCACAGAGAACATGGCTGAAATCAACGAAACAGTCAAAATGTCATTCGTTGTTTTAAGGTTTATTTTTACTATTTTTAATTATGTGCTTGTGTGTGTGCATGTACTTGTGAATGTGAGTACTAGTGGAGGCCAGTACTAGTAATTCTTTGGAGCTGGAGTATCCCTAAAACTGGAGTTATATAGGTGGTTTTGAGCTGCTTGAGTGGGTGCTGTTGAAGGAGCTCAAGTCGTTTGCAAGAGCAGTATCCACTCTTACCTGCTGGGTCATCTCCACCCCTGAATGCTTCTCTTACTGTGCACTGTGAAGCATGTCTACCACAAATTGTGTACAGGGTATAGACCAAGTGCTGCCTTCAAGAAGCTTGTTAATGTAATTGCTGTCTTATTTATTTAATTACTATTATAGCTTTTTGAGACAGGGTTTCTTCTTTTTTTCTTTGTTCTTCTTTGTTTATTTTTTATTATTTTAATTTTAAATAGCTTGCTTCACATGTCAATCCCAGTTCCCTCTCCCCCCCCATCTCCCCCCAGCCTCCCACCCTATCACCACTTCCTTCCACATAGGGGATATCCAGAGTCTGCCATCTCACTCAGGGCAAGGTCCAGGCACTCCCCCAAGAGTCCAGGCTGAGAGAGCATCCCGAGACAGGGTTTCTTATGCTGGATTTCATTCTGTAGACCAGGCTGACCTTGAACTCACAAAGATCCGCCTGCCTCTGCCTCCCAAGTGCTGGGATTAAAGGTGTGCACCATCATTGCCAGGCTAGTTACTATCTTGTAGTTAATGCTAGTGACATAGTGGTAGTGTGTTAGGAACAGAACTTGAACAAGAACTCCAACAATGGGCTTATCATTAGCTGGTTTGGCTGTAGAGCTAAAGAAACTTTTAAAATGCAGTTAGTATAGTGCTTGTCATACAAGCAAGAGGTCTTGAGCTTGCGTCCCCAGAACCCCAATAAGAAGTAAGGCCCCTTTAATTCCAACATTTGAGAGGCAGAGGCAGGTGGATCTCTGTGAGTTTGAGACCAGCCTGGTCTACAGAATGAAATCTAGAACCACCCCCCCCCCACAAAAGCCTATAGTCCCAGTGCAAGGGTGGGAAGGGAGAGATGGCAGACTCCCAAAGCTCACTAGTTCATCTTACAGAACTGAGGAGCCTCAGGCTCACTAAGACTCTGCCTCAAAAATAAGTAAGGAAGTAGATAAAGGTGGTGTGTGGTCAAGCAAGGACACCAGTGTTAGCCTCTGTCCTCCAGACACATGCACATATGACATGCATTAACAAATGAATACAGAAATTTAAAGTCTTTGTATTTGGTGTTTCAGAGAGCTTTTGTTTTTGATTTCAGTGAGGTTAGTTTGTACAGAATTATGAACTGTGGTTGTATTTGATTATTCAGAAGAAGGCATTAAAAAGGTGAACTGAATTGCAATGTGGTGCTACATTCTTGTGACCCAGCACTGGGGAGGTTGGGCAGGAGGATTAAGAGAGTTTGACTCTAGACTGATCTATATATAAAGTGAGACCCTGTCTCAAAAAACACCATTAGTGTGGGTCTTGGCGGCACATGCCTTTAATCCCAGCATTCAGAGGTAGAGGCAGGCAGATAGATCTCTTGTGAGTTCAAGGCCAGGTTGATCTATGTAGCTAGTTCTGGGTTAGCCAGAACTACATGGTTAGACCCTGTTTCCAGAAAATAAAAGAAATGAATCCATCATTAGATTAACATCTGTGGTATGAGTTACAGATTCTCTTCCTATTTTACTGTTTGTCTTCTACCTTTGCTTGTGATGCTGGGATGTACTCAACAAAGACTTTCCTTACCTTATGTTTGGTTTACTGAGACAGGGTTTCTCTGTGTAGCCCTGGCTGTCCTGAAACTTGCTCTGTATACTGTAATGGCCTTGAACTCACAGAGATCCTTCTGCCTCTGTCTCCCAACTGCTGGAATTAAAGCTGTACACCCCCAACTCCTGGCTAACAGCCATTATGACAGTCCCTGTTTTAATACAGTTTTGAGCCAGTTAACCAGTTTAACTAGTTGCCATTCTCCAAGGTTAATTTTTTAATTTAAATTAAAACAGTCTTATTTTACATACCAATTCCAGTTCTCTCTCCCTCCTGCCCTCCCATACCCCCCATCCACTTCTCAGGAAGGGTGAGGCCTTGCATGAGGGATCATCAAAGTCTGTCACATCATTTGTGGCAAGACTGAGGCCCTGCCCCCTGGATCTGGGCTGAGCAAGGTATCTCTCCATAGGGAATGGGCTCCAAAAAGCCCATTCATATACTAGGAATAGTTATTGGTTCCACTGCCAGTGGCCCCATAGACTGCCCAGGTCCCAACTGATACCCATGTTCAGGGGGCGTAGTTCAGTCTTATGCTGTTTCCCCAGCTGTCAGACTGGAGTCCATGAGTTCCCATTTACTCAGGTCAGCTGTTTCTGTGGGTTTCTCCAGCATGGTCTTGACCCCTTTGCTCATCACTCCTTCCTCTCTACAACTGGACTCCAGGAGTTCACCTTAGTGCTTAGCTGTGAATCTCTGCTTCTGCTTCCATCAGCTACTTGGTGAAGGCTCTAGGATGATATTTAAGGTTTCCCCAACATGGTCTTGACTCCTTTGCTCCTCCCTCTCTACAGCTGGATTCCAGGAGTTTGGCTTGGTGTTTAGCTGTGAATCTCTGCTTCTTCTTCCATCAACTACTGGATGAAGGCTCTAGGGTGGCATATCAGATAGTCATCAATCTCATTATAGGGGGAGGGCATTTAAAGTAGCCTCTCCACTATCTCTTAGATTCTTAGTTGGGGTCATCCTTGTGGATCTCTGGACATTTCCCCAGTGCCAGGTTTCTCCTTAACCCCATAATGTCCCCCTGTGAAGGTATCTCTTTTCTTGTTCTCCTTCTCTGTCCTTCCCCCAACTCGACCTTCCTGATCCCTCATGTTTTTGTCCCCCCTCCCCTTCTCCTCTCCTCTTTCTCCAAGGTTTATATAAGAGGTAAATGATTTATATTTTAATACTGATGAAATTTAATAAACTTTTGGAAACAAAAGATGAATTGTGCTACAAAAGAGTTGGTGGGCTGAATCATTGATGGTTTATGAGTTATATTCCTGAGTGTTTTGTAATGTTAGATGTTTTTTGTAGCAATACATAATAGGAAGCCCACTTTGAGGGATGAATTGGCTATTTGGCTAGGGACCAGCTCTGTTTGCTAATATTCTTTTCGTTCTGGTTGCCATCAGCCTGCCAGCATAGCTGCTGTGGCCCAATGCTGGGGAGGTGACCGGCTCTCATCTCTAGACCACATGGGCCAGAGTGGGACCCTGTTGAGCAGGAGAATAAGATTATTTCTTAGAAGCCTCTGGCAAATCTTTGATTTACTGTCCCAACTTAGATTACTAACCCATTTCTGTTTCCACTGGAAATGCACATCATTCTAATCTTGGCTAAGCCACTCCTTTGTCTTATCCAAGACCCTCTTTGCTCTGGAGATCACTCTGGAACTAGGAAATGCCCTGCCAGGCGGAAAGTGCTCCACAGACAGATACTAAAGGGGCAACCAAGAGAGACATGAGCTACACTGAGGGTCTTGTGCTGGTTTGGGAACAGCTGAGGAGAATAGATGCAGAGAACAACTTGGTCCTGCCTGCTTTGCAAGTCTGTCCTTCCGTTCCTCTTGCTGTCCAGCTGCTAGGACCCTTCGGTCTCTTCATCTAGTTCTCAGTCTTTTAACCTGTTGCCTTTTTATAGACTGACCTTGAGGGCAGAAACCATATCTTATCTGTCCGTATCCATTAAACTGCCAGTGCATAGTAAGCATGTTGTTTTTACTTTTATTTTTAAATTTTAATTTATTTACCTGTCTATGTACTCTGAGTCAGGATCTCAGTATTTAACCCAAGCTGGCCTCAGATTTGACACTTCTGATGGCACATGCCTTTAATTCCAGTACTCGGGATAGAGGCAGGCTGACCTCTATGAGCTTGAGGGCAGCTTAGTTTACAGAGCGAATTCTAGGCCAGAAAGGAATACAGAGAGACTGTCTCAATAAACAGACAGACAGATAGATAAAAAATAAATAAACAAAGAAAAGAGTTGGTTTGAATTACAGACCTCTAAGGACCGTCTTGAATGAATCAGGTAATCTTTCTAGCCCTTTCAGCAGGCAGGTGTGCTGGCTGTTACTCAACATCTGTGGAGGGAGGCTTCCAGCCTCTTTCCCGTGGGTTGAGAACCGTTTAGAAATTAGTCAGCTGTCTGGCCTCTTGGACTATTGGACATCTTCTGGTGTGACCCAGGAGGGAGCAGTGTCTAGTGTCCTGAATGCTTGGAGCTTGCTTTGTGTTCCTTATCCTGGAGATCTGGGGAGAAAAGTACATACTTGACCTTCTAGAAAAATGCTGCTGTCCTGTCAGCCACTTCCTCCCTGTCACTGCAGGGCTGCACAGCTCCTTTCGTCCCTCCTCTCCCAGCTCTGGTCTAGGTGTTCATGTAGCTAGTATCAGCTCAGCTAACTGAAAAAGTTTCCATGAGAGCCCGGAGGGTAGGTAGAGGCGGGGTGGCTTCTCAAGGCCTGAATAGACCAGTCCAGCCACCTCTCCTCGTGTCCTTTAGAACTTCCCTTTCTTTCTCCTGGCTCTGCCCTGACTTCTTGCTTGCCTTGGCTTCTTGTAGACTTTGTTGCCTGCCTCATGGTTGTCCCTTCACTAGTGCCTGTCATCAAGTACTTACATGGTTTCGTTTGTGCTGTGTGGCCATTGTGCACTGTGGCTATTGGTTCTATAGCTTCTGTGGCCACCCTATAGTCCCAGTCTATCTCTGGCATGCTCTACTGCAGTGACACTCAGGGTCTTACCTGTGGGGACACCAGACCTTGAGCAGAAACCCACTTCCCCTTCGGCCTGGGAGCAGGCAGCTGTGTAATGTTTACTGAAAACAATTCAGTGCTTTATACGGGCTCGCTCACTGAGATACCATGACTTTCACACCCCCTACGGCTAGATGCCTCTTCCTGTCCCCCCCTGCTGTGCCTCCCTGATTCTGAGATTAAATCACCAGCCAGGAGGGTGAGAAGTCTGGAAAGAATTGTATGTAGATGGATGGCAGAAGTCCTTAAAAAGGGAAGCGATTTTTCTTGGAGAGACTTCTGAGAGCTCTCTCCTAAGCGGACTGGGGTCTCTTCCTTAGCTGACTTGGGAAGCATAAAGTTTTATCTTAAAGCAACCGACCGGTCTCTGTGTCATCTATCCCGACCACCTCGCTACATTCTCGGATGCAGGCCGCACAGCAGGTGCGACACTTACCCTCATTTGGGACATTTCAGCTTCAAAATCTGGGTGTGAGTTTGGCTCTCCTTGTCAAATTCAATATGACACTGGCTATTCAACTTCTTGCTACCAAATCCACTGGATACCATTCAACTTCTCAGCAGCATTTGGCACCACTGTTTACTTACTTATTATTAATTTTACTTTTTTTTAGTTTGGGGGCACATGCACATGCCACACTATGTATGCTCGTTAGGGAACAATTTGTGAGAGTTGATATTTTCCTTCCACCAGGTGAATCCTAGGAACTAAGCTCAAATCATTAGATGTAGCCATAAGATTTGTTGATCAATCTTACTGAGTGCCTGTTTGTTTGTTATAAGCCAGGGTCTTGCTTAACTTTGTACGTGGTTCAGGCTGTTCCTGAACTGTCTGTCTGTCTTCTGGCCTACCTCAGCTTGGTTTGTCTTAACACTTTGCATTTTTCTTTACTATTGCTATTGTGGCATGTGTGTGCAAGCATGTGTGTACCATGTGGGGGGTCAAAGGATGGTTTTCAGGGATTGGTTCTTTCCTTTCTACCATGTGAGCTTCAGTCAGGGACTGTACAGCAGCACTTAGACCTGCTGTAGTCTCTTTAATCCTGGTCCACATCTCGCTGGCTTCTTGGTTCATTTCCTACTGCCTAGATTTACCTGTTGGGTTTCCTCAATGACTTAGTCTTAATTCTTTTCTCAATTCTATTATGTTTCTGAGCTGCATTTGAAATCATATTCCCCTTTGTTCCTGAAATAGTTTGTTTGTACCCTTTTCCCCTCAGGAAGAAGTATTTACTACAGTAAATGAATCCAGTGGGTATTTCCGTGAGAGCACAAATCAGTTAGGGCAATTAAAATGTAAACTAACATATGCTCAGCTAAGCTTGGCCTCAGCCACCTTCAGCTGTAGATCTTCCTTCTTGATAGTGAGAGGCTTTGCCAGTTTTTTTCTCCAGCTCCTTTTGCCATCTGCTTTTTGGGCATGTCTGTGTGCATGTGTGTGCTGCGGTGTGCGTGTATGGAAAGTCAGAGGACAGCTCTGTGGAGTTGGTGGCTCCTCTTCCGCCGGGTGGTGTAGAGCGGAAACTCAGCTGGTCGGAATTGTTGGGCAAGTGTGTTTACTCACAAACTTTTTCTCCAATTATTAAAGTTTAAAAACTACAGTTATTTACTTGGTAGAGGGTGAGGAAGGGCACACGTGTTGGAGGTCTGAGGACAGCTTGTGGGAGTTGCTTTCCTTTCATCTTATGGGCCCCAGGAAAAGAACTCAGTCTTCTGGGTTAGTGGCAAGCGCCTTCACCTGCTGGGCCGGCTACTGGCCCTTGGTGTGTCTTTGTCCTCCACAGAACATGTGGATTTCACTGGCATTGCTTCTTCCCACCCTCTTTCCTAGCTGTGCTCAGCTCCTTGTGGATTCCCGTTTGGAAAGATTGCCTTAAATGTACCTGTGGATGGATGTTTGCTCCTCTGGAGCTGTCTGCTTCATGCCTAGTCTGCTCCTACTCCCTCCTACCCCAACTCCTTACAGTTACAAGAATCTCTACAAATGTGAATGCGATGTCATTCCTAGGCTCAAAGACTTTCAGTGACATATATTTATTTGTTTACTTATTGAAACAAGGTCTCATGTGGCCCAGGCTGGCCTCACACTGGCTGTGTAGCCAAAGATGACCTTGAATTTATGAACCTTCTGCTACCACCTCCAAGTCCTGAGGTTATATACATATTCTACCATACTTAGAGTACTGACTCCTGTTGATTCTACCACCCCCACCCCACCCCCACAAAATTATTTTGCCAGGGATGTAGCTCAGTGGTGGGTATTTGTCTAGCATGCATGTTTCCATCGCCAGCGCTCTAGATGAACAAACCCAAGCCGTGGCTACTTGAAGGGCTCTGGCGAGCCCATGCTTTCCTTATTTGCCACTGTTCATTCTCTTGCTAACTTACTAGCTTCCGTTGATCCCTCTGATAATTCTCTGATAAGCTTCTTCACACTTCTTAGGTTCCATTTGTTTTCTCTTCCAGGAGTGTTGTTTTCCTCTTTTCCCTTTGGTCCTCTTCTCTAAAGGGGTGCCACACCCACCCTTTATTATCAGCAATGACATGAGCTGTGTTCCCCATAGAGCTATGGGGCTGGCTTTCACCTTCTCTGATTTCTGCCTGTGCTGGTGTGAATGAGAGAGGCCTCCATAGGCTCATGGTTGAGTGCATGGTCCCAGCAGATGGGTCTGTTTGGGAAGGAGTGGCAGCTGTGACCTTGATGGAGGGGTTGTGTCACTGGGCATGTGCTTAGAGGTTTCAGAAGACTCACACCTTCCCAGTCCCTGCCCTCAGCTTGCGAATGGAGATGTGCCCTCACTCGCTCTTGCTGCTGTGCCTTTGCCCGTCAGCATGGGCTCTGACCCTGAAATGGTAAGCTACGAGTTAACGCTTTCTTTTGTAACTTGCCTTGGTCAGTTGTTTTATCACAGCAATAGAAAAGTAACCAGACAGTACCCAAATGTGATTTTGCTATTCCTTTCCACACAGGAGCTGCCATCTTACCTTAATTCCTTTCTCAGGCTTGGGATGGGAGTAGCTTTTCCTTTCCACGGGGTTTCATTCTGTAGTCCAGGTTGGTAATCCTTCTGCATCAGCTGAGGTTATAGACAAGAGCACCACACAGTGTAACCTCTTCAGTCCTCATTGCCATCTGATTCTCTTCTACCATGTGTGTCCTTCCTAAGCCTACAGGAAGGAGGGATTGATTATCTTCACTCCTGAGACCCAAGTTAAAAGGACTCCCAAGGCCAAGTTCTCAGCACAGAGGAGGTTTATTTGCCCCAGAGGGACAGAGGGCAGGGGGATAAGGGACAAAGATAGGAGATACAGGAAGAGGGAGAGGGGAAGGGAACAAGGGGAAGGGGGCAGGGGTGTTTGTCCCTGAGGGACAAAGGATTGCATCTGGATAGAGGGGAGTCAGGTATGGCACATAGGAAAATCGTGATTTATAAAGGTAAAATGGAAAACCTCATATTAGGATGAAGAGTTAAAAAATTTTTTTTAAATTCTGAGACAGGGTTTCCCTGTGTAGCTTTGGAGCCTGTTTTGGCAATGACTCTGTAGACCAGGCTGGGCTCAAACTCTCAGAAATCTGCCTGTTTGAGCCTCCCGAGCACTGGTATTAAAGGTGTGTGCCACGCACCTGGCTTGAGGTGTTTAATTTTATATGGACATGTTAATTAGGTAAGCCAAAGTGGGGGCTTCTGATCACTGGACTTCAATACTTTGATAGTTGAGCCTTGCTAGTCAGCCTCAGGAGGAGGAAGTGACCAAATAAGGACTAGATCTTGATGGCTAGCTTTGGGTACATAATCTAGTGGGTTTTAGCAAGATGGAGGGTTTGGGAGAGAGGACCAAGGCCTGCCAGAGCCATTTTTGCCAGGCCCGGTTGGCTGGAGTCCCTTCATTAGTATCTAAAACAGTGCCTGACACATAGAGGAGAATTTAGTGAATACTGGCTGAGTGAACTGTGATAGAACTTATTTAAGGTGAGTTAGTAAGAAAGTCTCTACTTGGAACACAGGTATTATGGCTTCTTGTTGGGCCTGTTTTGTTCTTTAAATAGTCAATACATTTGCATGGTTCAAAATTCAAAGGATATACAATGAAAAGTCTTTGACATCTGGTCCCAGGCACCATGTTCTCCTCATAGATAACCAGTATTGGAGCTGGTCATGTGGCTGCATGGGTAGAACAATTAATTGCTTATCATATGCAAGGTCCTGGGTTCTACTCTAAAGAAAACCAGAAATAACCATCATTAAGTTATTAAGTTGTAGCCTATACTACAACACACAAACTTACATATAAATCTGTCTTTACCAAAATGCAATTTTAGCATTGGTATATTTATACCTTTGTCTTATTTTTATCTTTTGATTTTAATTATTTTTATGGATATGAGTATTTTTCCTGTAAATATATGTGTTCACCACATGTGTCTGATACTCTCAAAGGTCAAAGGAGAGTGTCAGATCCTCTGGAACTGGAGTTACGGATGGTTGTGGATGCTGGGAACTGAACTCTGTCTTCTGCTAGAGCAGCAATGCTAACTGCTCAGTCACCTCTCCAACCCCTTTATTTTTATTTTTTAAATAAACTCGTCTTTGGAGGTTGTTTTTGTTAGTGTATGAAGAGCTTCTGTGCTTAGTGAGGGCACAGTATCTCATTGCCTTACTTTACTGCCGTTCCCTTTGATGGAGGTTAAGCTATGGTGTATACGGCCATTTCACCATGGGGGCAGAGTAGCTGATTAGTAAACCATTCGGAGTAGAATTTCTGGGTGAGAAGACGTACATTTGTGGTTTGGAGCCACGCAGCCCCAGTGCCTTGTGCAGGCTATACCAGTGTTTACCTCTGGCACGGGTGTTGTTGATCTCTGCAGTGTGACAGATGAGGCATGGTGGTGTCGATGGAGATATGTGTCTCATGGTTGCAATCACGCTGAGTGCGTGTGTTGAAGAGTCTTTGTATTCCCTTTCCTTCTTTTGAGACAGGGTCTTGTGTGGCCATTGGCTGGCCTGGAACTCACTATGTAAGGCGACCTGGCCTTGGACTCAAATGGGTCTGCCTGTCTCTGCTGTCCACTACTCCTCACCTGACACTGTCCTGCATTTTTGAGACATTAGTCCAGGCTGGCCTTGCTATGTATGTTGCTCACGTGGGCCTTGAATGTTTCTCATCATTCTGCTTCCCATCTTGGTGCTGGGACTAAAGGGACATGTCACTATGTCCAGCTGAGAATCATTGTATTTTTTATGATTTGTCCAGGACTGTACCCCCCCTTTTTTCTGAAGTAAGATTTTGGTCTTTGTATGTTACCCAGGCTGGCCTTGAACCTGCATGAATCTTCTGTCAAGCATCCCAAGTAATGAGGGTCATAGTGTGAAGCCGGCTTCTAATTTTCTCTTGAATTTACTGTTAGTATTTGTGTGTACATGATGGGGGTGTCACATTGTGTGGGCTCAGAGGACAGCAGCGGTGTTGGCTCTGTTCTTCTACCTTTACCTCGTTCCAGCTGTCTTTCTTACCATTGCTGGGTTAAAAACAGTGCTGGATAGACAGACAGCCTGTGGTTAAACTTTGTGTCAAAACAAATTTTGTGAATTTTCAGATTGTAAATGAAGATGCAAAGATCAGGATTAAGTGTAATGATGGCCCAATAACATTAGGTACCACATTTAAGACACACGCATAAAGGCTGAAGAAATATGCATTTGAGATCTCTTTGCTAATGCCTGGTTATATCAGGTTGACTGACTGTAGTTAGGATGAGGCTTGATTCTCTTGTACCTGTTGTGCAAACACCCCATCCTGCAGGCAAGCTCCTTCAACAGGAAGATTTAAACAAACAAACAAACAAACAAACAAACAAAAAAACCCTCAAAAATAGCTTCAGAAAAAAAATAGCTTCAGGAAGTCCCTGAAACTAACCTGATTCACTAGGCCCCTCCCTTCCAGAGTAAACAGTAAAGCTGCAAAGAAGACTCTGAGACCAGACCTACTGCTTGGGAGAAGCAGACACCAGACCAGTTGCCTGAAAGAGGGTTAAACCACCTGAGGCACCTGGGAAGGCCATTCTCCAACCTGTTGAGCTGCCTGCAGGCTGTGAAGTGCGCTCCAGATTCCCAGCTTTTGTGAGTTGTCCTCACCATGCTGAGGTGGCTTTGGTGATGCAGCTGTCTTTGAGTCATTTCTGTTCCTGTAAGTGATGTATCACCCATACTCCTGTAAGTAACTCCAATAAAACTCGCTGGTTCACCAAGTTGGACTTTGGTGATAGCTGTACTTTGCTCTGTTGTGCGTTCCCTATCTTCGATGAATAGATGTGTGTTGCATCTCACCAGGAAACGTTTTGTCACACAATAGCACCTATATTCTCGTATGTTGTTGGCAATCTTCATGGTCCCTCCCCTGGTAGAACAGAGGTCCAGGGTGGCTCTGATGGCTAGACTGGTTTTGTGGTCCCCTCGTCGGAGTTGGTAAGGTTTCTTCCCTGCTGTGCTCTTTGCTTCCTGTTTTCGTGTCACTTAGCCTGGCCTTAACCATTGTCCAATCTTTTCTTAGTCACCCTTTTATCAACCTGTCTGTGATGGTTCACTTTTCTAACAACATCAAATCCAAGCTGAGCCTACTAAAGAAGCTCATCTGCCAGTGGCGTCCTCAGAGTCTCTCATTGCTCGTGAGACAATCATCTCACAAAGATTGAACTGGTTGTGCTGAAATCATTGCTGCCTTTACACACCTGTTTTGTATGCCTGACTCAGTTTTCTCTTAGGTTCTTCACCACACCTTTCTGATTGCTTATGATACTTTATAAATATTCACTTCTGACATGCAAAAACTGCCAGTCTGGGTGTAGAGGGATAACTCGGCCATTAAGAGCATTTTCAGCTCTTGCAGAAGACCCAAGTTCGTTTTCCAGCACGCACGTGGCAACTCAAAACTGTCCATAATTTCAGTTCCAAGAGATACAATACCTCTTCTGTCCTCTGAGGGCACCAGGCATGTACATGGTACACATCCATACATTCAGTCAAACCGCCATAAACATGTTTGGGTTTGAGACAGGATCTCACTTTTATCCTGGGACTCACTCTGTAGACCAGGCTGACCTCCACCTCAGATCACCTCCAACTCTTGTCTCCTGAGTTCTGGGATTAAAGTCGTGTACCACCATAGCCCTTGTAGCCTTTCTTGTTTTGTTTTTTTTTCTGAGACAGGGTTCTCTGTGTAGCACTGGCTGTCCTGGAACTCACTTTGTAGACGAGGCTGGCCTCAGACTCAGAGAAATCCCCCTGCCTCTGTCTCCCAAGCACTGGTGTTAATAGGTATGCACCACCACCAGGCTGAGACTCTTTTTCGTATTAATATTCACTTACTCACAGTGTGTCAGGGTTAGGAGGTAAGACAGGCCTTTGAAATCATTTGCCAACTGCATCTCCACATACATGACATCACGTGGTGTAAGCTGCCCTGTTTAAAAAACAATGTATTTCTTGTTCT